TAGGTATATGTATGTACGTAGAAATGTTTTTTTTTTAACAATCAAATTAATTTTTTTTAACAATCAAATTAGTTCTTTTAAATCAATGTATATAGGTAGTATATATGTATGTTTATACATTTACAACTTTTAGTGTATGTGTGGATTTTTTGCAATTTTTTACGCACATATATAAATATTTATTTTGATTGCTGCACTTTTTCAATATCACTATTTTTACTACACATTTTTATTTAATTATTTTAATTATTACGAATACATACTAGCAAATCTGCATATACACTTAAACATAGTTAGAAACTACTTATGTATAACTACTTTATGTTATTCTGCTAATGGTTTTCATTTAAGTAGTATTAATTTCTCGCACCAGTTTTATGAAAATATGTTTTTTTTTTTGTTATTTAGTCTTTTGTTATCATACTACATTTATGTTTATATGTACATATGTAGGTATGTATGTATCTTATAGTATGTTAAAATTTCCCTAAATGTACTGGTTTTGGCAACCGGATCCGAACCGGGTTCCGGTTCTCAAAAAAGTGGTAACGGAAATAGGCCCTATCGGAAAAGTGTAAATAAACATTTTAAAAAGTTTTTACAAAGATTCAATTTCTTTTTATATTATAAAGTAAAGTAAAGAAATAAAATATACAAAATTCACTCCTTAGTTGATATTTGTGTTACAAAAATTTTATAAAAATAAATTACATGAAATTTCAGTCGGTCTGAAAAGACTAGCGTATCGAGGCTCAGGGACAAACTCAACGGTATTCAAAATGGGGAGATTTTTTTAACCACATTTATTTTTCTGTGAAAAAATTTATTTGCGGTGCTACATAACCTCAAATACATATGTATGTCAAAAAATACCGTATTTTGCACTTTTAGGTTAGGATATCTCAAAACGTGTTAGAGAAATTCTGAGCCCGGATTCGGATTCAGCGTCGGAAATTCTACGTGAAATCATATACCACAAGCTCATAATAAAATAGTGTGGGCCAATAGTTGGCAGACTTTTTAATTTGAACCCAATCGGACTGCATTTCCCAACTATTTAGTCGGTGTGATTAGGTTGGTGTATAATACCACCTCCATACATCTTCATGTGATTGAAACGAGCGCGACTAAATCAGCGGCCGATAAAGTCTGCAGTGCGCGGGGCTCTTAATGCTCAAAGGTAGCGTATATATGTATGTATTTCAATGGTGGTACACGGGTAGGTACTTGTGATAAATGGAAGATAACGACTCGAAACCCTAGCTTGCTGCAGCTAGGCTTCGCATGCAACTCTGTTTAATAAAGAACGTACGCCAGGGAGAATGACGAGAGTTCTAAATTACACAGCGTCAGTGTGGTCGCCGGGGACCAGTAGGACGCAGAGAATGAAGCTGCAGACAGCAAAAAACTCAGCACTTCGGACAGCGACCGGATGTGTTCAGATGTCGACAGAACACCACCTGCATGACGAGGCGAAAATGCTCCCCATCAGGGAGCACAACACAATGCTCTGCAAGAAATTATTAGTAGGGAGCCAAAGACGTGGACACCCGAACAGACACTTGTTTGCAGAGGAGCCCTCGCTAAGTCATGTTAGAAGGCATCTATACAAACTGACGGACGAAGTTCAGAGGTTCATAAAGCAACCTCTAGACCCGTCAGCATATCGACAGGCCCTGAGCGGCATTCACAGGGAGTCAGTCTCAAGTTATGTAGACTCCAGACCTGTGAATGCCGTTCAGGGCACACAACCACCTGACGTAGAAGAGACGGAGCTTCGTCTGCCTCGGGAGACTTGGACCACAATAGCCCAACTTCGCTCTGGCTACTGCAGCCGGTTCAACTCATACCTCAGCAGATTAGATGCAGATATGTCAAATGAGTGTCCGGAAAACCCTAATGCCATTGTCCCTATGGACAGACCCTATAGAAGCTGCACGCTTCTTAGATCTTCCGTTAATTGAGCTTGACGACAACTACTGAGATACTAGCCGATCTGGACGGGGTTGTTGTATCTGCTACAACAACAACAACGAGAGTTCGACTCGACCTCAGCTGCAGTCACAACGAGCAGATCGGAAATTTAGCTCACGACTATCAAACCAGCTTAAACAAGCAACTTTTCATCGACTCGACTCAAATGAGCTGCTGAGACTTCGGTCGTGTAACCCGAAGAGACGACGATGGGCATCTGATAACGGAAATTCAGAGAAAACTTAATATATGGAAGAAGTTCGTCTTAACCCTGCGGAATAGCGATAAAGGTGGCGCGTTTGATAAAAAAGAACCCAGACCATTTTATTGGAACGCTGCTAACGTCCCTCCACTGAATCAAGACGGGGTGGGAACAGCAACAATAAAACCTAAAACCAATAAAGCCACTGTGGCCTACAGAATATCGGCCGAGTTGTTGAAATTCGGCGGCGAAGAGCTGATTGGCCCTATGTACCAGCTTCTAAGCGAAATTCCTTCTGATGAATGAAAATTTGATTATTTAAGCATTTGAATTTCAGTGTACTTTGATCCATTCACAAGCAGCGAGATTCTGCTGTTTGTGCCAATTACTGCGTGGTGGACCTTCTAACAAGGCTGCAGCACCCATCGTCAACGAACTGATTGGGCCTTATCAGTGTGGCTTTAGCCGTGGTAAATTCATCATTAACGAGATTTTCACAGTGCGACAAATCCTGGAGAGAAACTGAAGATCAAATCAATACGGCTGTTCAGGATGTTGTGGAAATGGTCTTGGATTTGCATTTGGAATTGCATTAGCAAATTTTATGCTTGCTGAAATGGACACCGTGTGCATTCAATTGTTGTGAATTTACAAATGCAACGAATACGCCAATGCAAGAGCATATGCACAAGATCCTGAACAGCCCTAATATAATTATGTAGATCAGCTTGTTGTTGATTTTAAAGCCGCTTTTGATAGCTTGAAGACAAACTGTCTCTGAGACGTCATGCCTAAATTTGGAATCACCGCAAGGCTAATACGACTATGTAGGTATATAGTGTAATATTGAGAATAACTTTTGGCTTCCTCCAAGAGGGGAAGAACTGCTTCGCGCAGCTTCATACTAAACGAGACATTAGACAAGGCAAATTGTTTAATATGAAGCGTAAAGCTGCTTTTTAAAGATCGACTAGAAAATCTACTGTAGCTTAATAGGAGCTTCCCATCTGAATTGCAGCGACCTACCCACTAATTTCGTAAGCGCAGCATATTCTAGCTTAGTGAATATGGCAAAAAGGATAACGTCGGACGAGGACAAGATACAGAATCTCCTCGAAACACACGAAGATTAAAAGGGTATTGGGACACACGCTTTCAACCCACCCCTCAGGACCAAATATCAGACCCACACATCTCGAGAAATATGGGCGATGTCGAACAAAGGTAAGATGACTTTGAGGTCTTTCAAGAGAACTACTTATTCCATGCCATTCCAGGTACCGAAGTAGAAAAAAGATGAACTGTACAAGGTACACAGCGCTTGAAGTCCGATTTTTTTTGTTTCCCTGGGCCACGCTGGAAGCAGATGTTGTGTTTTGGGCTACAAGTTTATTACCATAGCCTAAAATGCAGCCCTGTATTGGGCCCATATTTCTGTATGTAACTTGAAATATTTTTGGGCTGCATTGATACTCTCTTAGGGCGTATGCGACCCGCGGGCTGCAGGTTGGACAGCCTTGGTGTAGATAATGGTCTGGTGAAAATATCTGCCGACTCGGCGCCCAAGATTGGACATTGAACATTCAAATTAATTTCTGGCTTTCAGCGTTTGAATGGAGTAACAGAAAAAATTTTTAATTCTCATTACAATTTTTTAAGTTTATAAGGTCCAATCCCCTATTTCTCGGACTAAAACTGTCAAAACTAAAAGGTACGGGATCGCTTTTTCGTAAAATTTAGTCCTTGAAGAAATCAAAAAATATGTAACAAAAAAATGAAATAAACACAAAATTAAAATGTCTCAAAACAAAATTTATTAAGTTATGCTTTTAATATTTCGCACTTTACAGTATGTAAGTTAAAGTTGATTTTTTTTTTTTTTGCTTTTATCATTATTGTATGCAGCATTACAATATTATGTAATTGAGTAAAATAATAATTGGCGTTATAAGTATTAATTAGTTAATTGTATTATGCAATGCCAACTTACTTATGAAAATAAATTTGCAATCGAAGAAGAAATATTGCAATATAATAGTTTTTTTTTTAAGCTAAAAGCGAAAAATGATGCTAACTTCAACTTATATTTATATACATAAATAAGTATGTGTGTTATAAACAAACAAAAATGTATTAACTCAATAGTAAGTAATAAGTAAATTGGAACAGAACAGTTTACCCAGGGATAAATTGAAATAATTCAGCTGTAATAGCACATATATGCATTTATATATATGTATATGCAGGTGTGTATTTTGGTAATTTGTTTTAACATTTTACTAATATTTAAACGTACATATGTACTTAGATACAAACTAAAAAAAAAAAAAAAATTAACTAGACTAAACAATTTGACGTGATTTGCGCTAGGAAATTAACATATTTATGTATGTATTTTATTGCCAAAGGACACTGGCTTTGTTAAGATACATATTTATGTATTTAAGCTACAAATTATAGTTGCTGAAACACTATATTCCCCATTAAATACTAGTGTTGCAATACATGTATGCATATATTTTAAAAACTTTGCTTTAATTAACTTAATACAATAAAGAATCTATGCATAATTATATTTGCATAAAATAGTGCCAATATTTTGTTTAAACATATTTGACTTATTTCAACACATAGGCTACATAATTTGGATGGGAGGCTTGGTGTTTGTAATTCTTTAAATGGAAGTGTGTACGTCTGTTATTTGCGTAGTGCATTTACGCACCTTTTAAATGTTTTAAAAAATTTTAAGAGAATTTTATCCCATCACCCAACAAGCACAATTAATACATTTTTTTTTTAATTATGATTAATGCAACATTTTTCGTTTTTTTTTTCATTATGTTTGTAACATTTATTATAATTTCATTAGTTTATTAAAAAAGCAGTAAAACTACGTAACTTTTTAAAGGCTCGTTATCGAGTTGCATGATTTAAAAATTAAATTTCGAATAAGCTTCATTAAATTCTCGCAGTTTGATTAGAATGCTGAGCTTAAAAAAAAAAAAAAAACAGTTTAAGTTTAGAACTTTTTAATATGCTGACATACATATCGTCGAAGTTTTTGCAAAACTGCCTGAATTGCCGTAGTGATAAGAATGAGATTTGGTGACCCTGAACCCCAGGCATCAAGATTGATGCATAAAAATCGTTAAATCGTTATTAAAACAACAGATTTGTGAAATAATAGCTAGAAAAAATATCGTCTATCAAGGCAATACCTTCAAAGAATAAACCGTTTTTTCGCTCTCCTGTAAAATTTGAGTGCCATAAGATAGGCGGTTTTGCAATTGGGCGATGGGCGATCGACGATATGTATTTATGTGTATGTATGTATGTAATAATTAAAAAGGCGCTATTTTATTTCTGAGGACCGTTTTCACAGTGGAGAGTTAATTCACATACGGCAGTTCACTGGCTATTTTCAGTATAAAAACTAACTCTGCACTATGAAAATGGCCCAAAAAAATGCTAACTGAATTTAAGTTAGTGCGCCAAAAGTCCTTAGATGTGGATAAAGAAAAGAAGGCATAAATTAATATTCAAAACGAATAAATCATATCGTACGCTGAATAAAATGAGGAACAGAAGTCTGGCACTTTTTTTATTGTAGAATTAGCGAAAAAAACTATTTAAATAAGGAGTGAAAAACGCAATTAAAATTGATTCAACACAATTGAAAATTACAACAAAAACAAATTTAGTAACAAAAAAGTTGTTGTGCTGCGAAAGCAACAAAGTTAGCAACTCATTGAAGAAAGTTTAACAGAATTCTTTTTCTGATTATTTGTAACAACTTTGCATGACACATTTTGCTTCACAAATGCTGAGCCTATAAATTCTGCATTGGGATGCGAACTAGGTTTAGCTGCAACGCCTAGAAAATAAAATTTAGGGGAAATTATTTGATTTTATTAAAAGAGTTTCCCAAACTGGTCATTCATCTGACTTAACTTTTCTCCTTCAATTTATTCTAACAATAAAATTCGCTGGCAACTGAAATTAAGTTCTTAATATCAATGATGACAAATAAGTCAGCGATGATCGGTAATGACGGAAACTTAATTTTATGAAAATTGTAGATAGGTGGATTTTATATATAAAGTATCGGTACCTACTAAGCTGATTGCATGCCAGTGCAAGTTTCAGCTATCGCTGCAGGCACAACCAAATGCGTAGCACAATTAAATTTGTGTATTGATGTCTTGATCTTTAAAATCCTTCTTGACAATATGTGGACCATATTTTTGTTGGTGTTGGTGTTTAATAAAAACAAAAACGACTACTTAATTTCATTACTTTTTTTTCTAAAAGAAAATTGCAATTACAATTCTCATGTTCATGATCGCCGTCCCATTTCGCTATAACTACAAAAGTACACTTCGAATTCATACATTTTTATGTATGTATGATATTACTCAGTACATTTATAGGGGTTAACATTAACTTAACCGCTTTAATATTATTGGCTTATAAAATTTAGTATATTTATGTAATAATATTCATTTATTAGTTAATTCATAAACTATTTCTATACATACATACATTTATATGTGCTGGGTTTTTAAGCTGACTTTTTCTTACGTTTTTTTGTTTGTTTAATAAGCAATTAAAATTGTTTTCGTCTTCTTATATCCTCTATTTACCTCCTCGTTTATGCTAAAACACACATATGTACATATGTATTATGCGCAAATTGTACAAATTTGCAATATTATTAATAATAAATGGAAATTATTGTATGCACGCATCATCATTTTGTTTTGTCTGTTTGATAGCTTTGTTCCCAGTCGATTAATATTTTTTTAGCTACGACTTTTTCCGAATGAGACTGTCGTCAGTATTCTCTCTTTTATATATACTACCTACAATTTCATACGTTTACTTGTTTTCAATTTGCTCTTCTTATTTGGTTTCGTGCAAATATTATATTGAGATAGACGCATGTATTTCATCTCTCTCACTCTCTCTCGCAATCAACCATTACTAAAAAACTATGCCTTTGTTCCTTATTTACTTAATAGCAGTCATTATTATAACTTTTGTTTTCTTGTTTCTTCGGTATTTTTTTTTAATATATTTATTGCTCGCATCTTTAAATATCGTTTAAATTGAACTATAGGTACAATAAGCTTTTTCATGTGTATCCATTACATTAAATACTAATTTCTGTTTTAGTACTCTTGTAATAAACAAATTACAATTATTTTAACACACACACAAAAAAAATAACGAATGTGCGCGCAGCATTAAGAATTACAGTTAAGTGCGGTTCGCCTAAAATTATTTTATGAAAGGATTTAAGCATACAAATAATGAAATTGCTTCCGAGATTCGCGCAGCTTTTTATGATTTTATATTAATACCTGAGTTATTCCTTCAATCTCTGCACTCACCTGTAATAAAATTACAACAAATATCTCATATTTTGTTAGAGAGCAAATTATAATAAAAATAAGTTGGAATCGGTGTTTCGTCAGTTAACGGACTAAGCCCTACCGCAAGCAAATATTTACATATTTACTGTTTTTTTTTTTAACTGCTTTCCAATATCTTCTATTTCCAATCAAATATTAGACGAAATTCTTTTTATTCCACTGGCTAAAAAAAAAAATCAATGCAATGCATAGTATAATAATTTTAAATGTTATTTACATAATTAAAATAAGTTTTTAAACAATTTTAAAATTACGTCTCGCAATTAATACCTGCATTCCGCATGTTTCACGCACATTCATTCATAATAGCCCATATTTCCGTTGGCTTTAAATCATAACATAACTGAATTGACAAAAATAACTTATAAAGATGTGAAAAGTAAATATGTGATATTGGTCTGCCATTTGACCACATCTATAGCCCACTATGAATTCTAGATCCACCATAATGCGCAATAGATGCGCCAATCATTTGTATACGTGGCGCTGACGTAACGAACGTAGCGTACCAACGGACAGCACATGCACAGCTGTTGAGGGTGCCACATCCTTGCTGGTACTTGCATGCCTGCTCATTTGACTATGACTTCGGTTTCTTTCCTCTTTCATACCACTCGTCAACTTCAAAGTTGCTGACTCTGATATGGTTGAATTAACTTCGCCATTTGTTTGCTTTTGAAGCGTTTTATTTATGGCTTTTACGTCAATATTTTTTTGTTTATCACTCTTATCGCTCTTGGGCGGCTCTTCTTCCGCCTCGAATTCCTTTTTAATTATCGTCATTATAGTATTCTGCTCGTGAGCATTATCATCTTTTGGCGTTTGGTATTCATAGTAACGACGTTCGAACTTGAAGTAACGTAGTGCATTCTGTGTACTGAACAGCAAAATAGTGAACATCCGATAACGTGCTTTGAAGCGTTGTGCATGTTTTGCTTGCAGCTGCGATGTCAGGCCTAACCAATTGTTCTCTTCGTCATGGGTAGGCAGGCGTATGCTACGTCGATTGCGACGTGATTGTATCGCTTTAGATCGGGCAGCCAATGGTAGCTCGGTATTATTTTTATTAATATCTTTTTCAACCATAGCTTCTTCTTCTTCACCTGCCTCATCGTCGTCATCTTCTTTCGGTTCAATTTTCAGTAGGGGCAACGCCGCTGTTTTTCTCCTTGCACCAGTCTTATAATTCGTAACAGCCGATTGCGTATTCGCGCGTACTTGCCTTACGTTTCGTTGCTTCTTGTTGACCGTTCGCAAATCTTGCGGCTGTTCATTCGTGTCCAGCGAACTTGCCATCTCCTTTATACTTGTGGTTAGAATATCCATGTCGTTATTTTTCAGTTCTTTCAAGGGTTTCTTAATTTTAGTACTATCTTTTTCTTTAATTGCACTTATATTTTCGCTTGTCTCTTCTACGGCTGGTTCAGTCTTGATAGGCGCTGCCACATCGTCGATTTGATTATTGTCAACTTCAGCCATGACAGCCTTATTCTGTTCAATCTGTGCCAGCAAGATGTCTATATAATTCACTTTACGTTCCACAATTTCGTCCTCATCAAATCCAGCAAATCCTTCCTCTTGCACTTCCACTTCCTCTTCTAGCATACTGTCATTCAATTCATCTGCGCTTACAGTCTTTTCACTAATAACACACTCTAATTCTGCGAGTTCTCCGACCTCAATTTGTTCCCCACTTGTTTCCAGTCCATTCAAACTATTTACACTCAAAGTCTGTCGTTCGAGTAGTGTGTGATCTGATGACTTGCTACGGCCTAGACCACTGGTTGTGTCACCTTCTGACTCGAGTCTTTCGTGCGTCGATTGGGTATCGGATTCTGGTGCTGAGTACAAAGTTGAAGCGGCGGCTTGCCATTCGACATAATTATCAGATTCGTCAACTGCTACCAGCTCGACTGGTTGCTGTCCTTGATCAATTTCATTAGCTTCTTCAGTCACCACAGTTTCTGTGTGCATTTCGATTAATTCAGCACCCACACCTTCCACCTCTACCACCTCTTCATAACCAATAAATTCATCTTCATGCTGTCCTTCACCGGCAGACGAAATATTTTCCAATGCTACTTCGTTTTCATTAGCCACCTCAACATAAGCTTCCACTTTCTCGGACACTGCATCTGTTTCAGTTGCAAACACTTCCTCAACATCTGAATTATCCAATTCTTCGGACTGTTGACGGTTCAAACGGCGAAGCACCTTCTGTAGTTCATCGAATTTAGCACAAAGGAATTGATGGCCCAGCAATCCTTCAATAGACGCACGTTTTACCGACTCTCGCTGCAAACAAAGTTCCACAATCAGCTGTTTTAATGCTGGTTTAGCATTTTTCCAACGCGTGGAGTTATTTTGTATATCACCGTCTAATATACGTTGTTTCACCACACGTTCATTGACCTTCTCACTTTGCCCCCGTCTAAACGGCGGATGACCCATGTACATTGCATAAAGTGTAGCGCCTAGGCACCAGACGTCATAGGCTTTTGAGTACGTTGTGAGCTGTGCATCTGTGAGGCTCTCGGGTGGCGCATAATCAAGCGTGTAGCGGGGAACATCCTGCCAAGTTTCAGCAGTTGAGTTGTAGCTGTTAGAATAGTGAGAGATTCAGTTACATAAAATAAAAAATAAAATAAAACAATTTTTTAAATTGGGAAATGAATATTCGCTGGCACTCACCTTGCTGAACCGAAATCCACCAACTTTATACGCTTCATTTGCGTATCGGCGAACAGTATGTTTTCCGGTTTTAAATCTCCATGTATGAAATTCTTTGAGTGCAAATATTGCACAGCATCACAAATTTGTAGGAAAATATCACAGCACTGTGACTCAGATAGACCGCCAGACGAGTGTACAAACTCCTGCAGTTCGCCGCCACCCACATGTTCCATAACAATCCAAATACTCGAATCGTTGCGATATGTATCCACATATTTACAGATATTGCTATGACTACAAGAACGCAAAGCGTCCACTTCAGCAGGCCGATACAGTTTTTCAGATATGACTTTCACAACATGATTAAGCTCCTTTTCACTATCGTTGAGAATGTAACAACTGCCGAAGCTGCCGTTGCTCAAAAGGCGTCCTAATTGCAGCGTGGACGGACAAGGCGAGGGAGTCTAAGAGAAGAAACCGAATATGTAGTAATTCAAGTACAAACTGAGCAAGGCGAATGTCACTTACCGTAATTGGATCTTTGCAATACTCAACGTTGCAAGCCTTTTGTGTCGTTCTAAGTGAATTCAAGTGTTGCGGTGCCACATACGAGTAGCCACGAAACAATCTGTGGGTGTTGACAGGAACCGGCGCTGGAGAATCGATCACTGGTTGTTTGGTAAATTCTTCGCTAAAGTTTTGAGTATCATCCTCACTATCTAATTTCGGTTTGAATGGAGCTTTTCGCCTTTTGCTCTTCAACTCATCCCAGTCGATACCTTTGAAGAAGGGATGCTTTTTGATATCGGCAGCATTTTTGTTGTTTCCACCTAAAATATAAATGTTTTTATTACATTCGAGTTTGTAGCTTTATTTTCATATATGCACACAACTCACCTAAACGCTTTTTGGGATCCTTATGAAGCATTTTTAGTATAAAGTCTTTTACCGTATCGTTCAGTGTCGATGGCAGTACCGGATCGACTTTTTGTATGCGACGAGATATATCTACTTGAGAGTTTTGTTGTTCGACAACAGTGAAAGGCGATGCGCCAGTGAGCAATTCATATGTGAGCACGCCAACAGACCACCAATCGGCAGCGAGATCATGTCCAGTTGGACCAGCGCGTATTATTTCTATGAATGATGATTAAATCAAATGCGTTATTTATATATGTAATTATGTATGTAAAATTATTCAAAAAGTTCTCTTTGCTTTGTCATTCACCTGGTGCCATGTATTCTAGTGTACCACAAAAGCTATGCGCTCGGTGATCCGAATCTGGTTCGAATATCTTTGATAAACCAAAATCGGCCAACACTATATGACCATGGCCATCTAGTAAAATATTTTCAAGTTTTATATCGCGATATATTATACCCAATTTGTGCAGATGCTCTAAAGCGAGCACCACTTCGGCAATATAAATGCGTACTGTTGCTACCGAAAAATGTTCGGCTGTATAGAGATGCGTGAATAATTCGCCACCACTGACGTAATCTACAACAAAAAGGAAGCATATTTAGAAAAATTATTTATACAAAGCGTGGATTAAGATCCCTTACCCAAAATTAAATATAATTTCGAATCCGTTTGGAATGCATAATGCATGCCAACTAGGAATGGACTTTGTTGTATAGCCTCAAGAACCTGAAAAAGAAAGGACGATTGTTAAAATTCGAAACGTTTGTGTAAATTTTTAAGATTCAAAGAGAAATAAATAAATATTGTCACAAAGCGTTACAGTGCCCGAAAAAACGAAATGCCAGGATCAGGGAACGAAACAAATGTATTCCTGTGTATTTTGATGCGCTTAATCTGAATCCGGCAACGGAATCGGTCCAACGGGTCTGACTTCAGCGTTAACATAAGAAATAACATGGCGGATATTATGAGGCTTTTTGAGGCTTTTGAGGTTACAAAAAAATTTCTGAGTTTGATTCCCCCATCCCAGCCACATAACAAAAAAGGTGTCGAGGTTCGGGAATTGTTCCACATCATCAGGAAATAATGGCTGTATTTTATTAACTTAAAATAAAAGAACAAGTAATTTTTAAGCAAAAAAAAAGCAAACCCGACTTCAATTCTCATATAAAGATTTAAGACCACCGTTAATTTCTTCACGATCCAATGATCGGTACACCAAGTTATACACTTATACACCAGTGTGCTACTTGAGGAGGTACCACCTTTCTTTTAAAAAAAAAAAATATATATATATAATTATAGAAATCGGTTGACGTGGTCCAAAGTTATGCGGTAACATAACAAAACAATAGAAAATATTCCGACAAATTGATAAACTCCACCTTTTCTTTTAAGGCAGTTAAAAAAAAATATGAATAAATAATAATAAATATCCTTTAGTTTTCGTTGAAAATTCAACGATATATTCGGACTTTCAGAGATTAATTTAATTAAAAAAAAACCCTAGATTTTAGGCAAAGTTTTGAGTTGAAAATTTTGTAGGGAGTCATAGCCAGTTCGACATAACGGTTAACACCATTGCATTCAGCTTGCCCCAATTATCTAGTATGACAAATCCCCGGTCTGTCGGATTTTCAACTAACACAGTGTTATTGCCCATGTACTTTCAGTCATGAAAACAATTTATCAGTGGTAAGAGATTTTTGTAAAGACATTAAAATGCAAACTGATGAATATTTCGGGTAATCCACCAATTAATATTTTTCAATACGTAAGCATACAAGATTTGGTGGAATTATAATTGATAATTATCAGTATGCCCTCGTATGTGTATCTGTAAGAGTTGAACTGACTGCAATTGAAGGTTATATTCTCATAACTTAACTGCAACGCGTTTCATCTCGAAAAGTTGTTACATATTTCGATTGTGATTTCTTGTTTTAAAATCCGAAGTTAGCACATAATAAATTGTTGATAATTTATTATTGCCTCTTCGCGTTTTTTACAGACACATGTGTCATATAAAAGAACAATGCCCTGCACGTGCTTCGTTAATATAATAAATGAAAGCGAAAAGAAAATACCTACCGTGACTCAAACAAATGACCATGTGTTGATTTTTTTTAATATTCGTAATGTTTTTCGAGTTAATGTTTTTTGTTTTTTTTTTTATACAAATACTGTCCAAGCTTTAACCAAAACCATATCAATCACACTTTGAAACTTTATACAAAATGTCGGAAAAATCGACAAATTTTCATCGAAATTTTAACTTTTTAATCTGAATCTTTTAGAACATTTTTTGGTATGCAGTTTTATAGCCAATACAATTTTAGTGCATGTTTCAACCGGTTAAAAAATCGCGTTGATTTAAATTTTTTTTTTTATTAAATGTCGACCATACGTTATAGGAAAGAAAATGCCTACCACCGAAAGCAAATTGACGCGATTTTCTAGCGTCTTGAAATTTGCACTTCAACCTACTATAATTTAATCGGCTCGAGTTATCGAAATTTCAAGTATTTATAAAGTTATCACCGCGCAATTATCGAGTTTTATCGAAATTAGTCGAGTTGTCGAATTTTTTGAGCTATCGGATTTTAGTGTTTTTAAAAATTCATGGAATTATCGGCAACTAAAAAAATAAATAAAACACTAAAAAACAATAAAAAAAAATCAAAATATTACCAAAATTGGCCAAATATCAGATTTCAAACTTTATACAAAAATTATAAAAATGTTCACTAAAATTTCATTTTTTTTTCGCTGGTAGTGTCCGTGCCCTCCATATAAAAGAAAATTGACGAACTTACTTTGTATGGGAAAAACGTGAAACACCTTCAACCAGAACAATTCTCAAAAATCAACGGGATTTTTTTACCAACTTACTAGACAAGAATTAAATGGGCTACAAAATACTGTATATTCAAGATTTTTTCTAAAGATTCGGAATTAAAAGTCTGAAATTTTGTTGAAAATTTGCAGCGTTTTTATAATTTTTGTACAAAGTTTGAAATCTGCATTTATATGGTGTTTGTTGTATAACCAGCTGGACTTTTATAAAAAAAAAATCATAAACATTAAATAAACAAGACACTCCTATTATTTTGTGGACAACTGTAGATGGTAGGGGGCATAGTAATAGTTTTGGCTCTTTATATAGATAAACAAAAATTGACATGCGAAATGCCATCAGTGCGGTATCAATTCATTTTAAGATTTATGATCACAATCTCGAAACTACTATTCCATTAGAATTTTCGAAAAAACGTGTAAATAAAGAGCTCGTGGTACCATCTAGGGGTTTCTTCATGGAAACAGGAAGAGTGTAGCAGTCATGGTTCCAAATTCAGCAAAAACCCAAACAACTTACCTGCAAAAGAAGCAAATATTCATTAGGGTGATTCACAATGTGGGTTAACAGTCATATTGCCATAATGTCTTTTAAAATTATTGCATGACAGACAATATGACTCGCTTCGACACCTTGTGAATCACCTAAATAAATATGCACATAAATGACCAGTTGGATCGCATATTTATGTATGTACAAACAGTGAAACCCGCTTAAGTACCCACCCGCTTAAGTACCTAACCCGCTTAAGTAACCAACATTTTTGGGCAACGTGAATTTTTTAATGCAATCTGAAGAAAATCCTTCTCTTAACTTAAATTTTTCGTACCCCATTTACCATTTTACTTATAATTTTCCCCTTTTAAGTGCTCTTTCAAAATTTTTTTAAATATTTACATATTTTGAAATTCAGTGGCAGCGCTACACAATCGATATTAATTGCCACCGTCAGTGTAACAACATGCTAGTGTCAAGTGGCTTAAAATTACCGTTGATTTTTTGGAACTTGTTTGTCGCATTTGCTTCCATATAACGAATAAACACAGTTTGTTTTTATGTGAAGAAAACCGCTGCACCTTCGGCAACAAAATTCTAAAAAATCAACGGTAATTTTTTGCCACTTGCAACTTGTTACACTAAAATCGAATGGGGTCACTTCTGAGAAAAAAGTTTGAAATTTTGATGAAAACTTTATGAATTTTCAGAGTTCTATAAAATTTTAAGCTTAGGTTTATATGGCATTTGTAGGGTATGAACTGTATTTTAATTGAAAAATCTCAAAAATTAGTAAAAATAAGAATTTGGTCTAAAATGTATATGTGTGTATAAATATGTATAAACAATGACTTTTTAAAAATTACAAAGCATTGCATTATCTATTTTTTCATAAAGTTTTCCTTTATGTGTATATGTGTCTAAGTAACGCTACGATCTTGGTTTCAAAATACGTATACACTTTATTAAATGTTCATATTTTATTCAGGAGTTTATTTGAGCCGTTCAGTGCATACATCGATTAACTCCACTTTTTGAAAAATCTAAAACTTCAGTGTCAAATCACTTGGTATACTCACAAATTAATACGCTTATAATAACTTTATATAACATACAATAGTACATAATATATATAACAACATTATTTGTTTGATTTTGTAATATAAATGGAATTTAAAAAAAAATAATGCACACTATTCGATCGCATCTCCCAACTTGTTGCGGGTTTTACTGTATATATGTATGATTATATATTTTTAATGTACAAATGTATACATTTCCATTTACAACTCAGCTGTGCGATAATCTTCGAGAACAACGATTCTTTTTGCACTAGTACGAGCTCCCGATTATGTATTGCTTCTTTTGTCTTTTTATATTCGTAAATTCATACCAACCATCACCCACTGATTTTTTTTTTACTTTTATGCACATACATACAACATACATATGTACATACATATACATGTGTGTGCTTAAATATCGCGCACGCTCTTCAATTGTATATTAACTCAAAATTTTCCTTTTGTTAAGAACATTGTCGAACATATGTATGTAACATATGTAAATAATTACAAATTTTGAGTTAATACGCTTTTGCAGTGCATGTGCGATATGTACAAACCACGTATGTACGAGTATGTACACTGATTTTACTGAATTTAATTAACAACTGCGAATTAACGCAAATAAGATCTTTCGGGGCTAGCGTTGAGACAGGTGGTGGCTTTGGCTCGACAAAAAAAAACCTTATCATAAGCCCACAAAAATTAAAAATTACATAAACCTTAGCTTAGACTGGCGTATAAAATTAGAATGAAGCTCATTGCAGAAAAACTTTTTGGCAAAAGTATTAAAAAGGTGCCACTACTGCTGTCGCGATGTGTGCAGGCCAAATTTAAATTTGTCAGAAATGTCCTGTATTTGCCGGGACGGCCGGCATTTTGCATTAAATTTGAAATGTTCCGCCGGGACAAGATTTTTCCCGTATTTTCGACAATTTCATTATTATTTTTTTTTTCAACCTGTAAACTTCTAATCAACATGGTCATGGTTTAACGCGGCTATTGTGAGTACTATTGCATGCAACTCTGGAAGAGAAATATAGCTAAAAATTGCCGTTGATTTTTAGGTTTTTTTTTTTGGGTGTTGGGAATTTTCTTGCATATACTGCATGAACAAAACTGACTTTTATATGGAAGAAAATGCGTAACACCCTTCACAAAAAAAAAAAAAATTTTTAAAAATTAACGGTAATTTTTAGCGACTTAAAACTTGCACTTTATTGTACTGAAATTGAATCGGCTATAAAACCGCATACTCGAAATCTTTCTAGGAAATCTAATTATTAAAAATATGGAAATTTTTATGAAAA